TTATATATTTTTCTCTTACTAAAAACCTCCCATTGATTTCAATAAAAAATTGAACACGTTTAATTATTTATTTTCATTTATATATGATGCGGTAATTATTTTATTTTTTTATTTTGCATTTATAGTTACAGAGAGCATTCTCAATACTTTATAATTTAATGTTCCTTTAATATTTATTTATTTTAATGTCAGTGGGATATATTTATATTTAAATAAAACATTCTATTTATAATAAGCAGGTATTATCTAAAGAAGTCAATAAAAAAATTTAACATTTCTAAAAAGAAACACATTTTGATGGGGTATGAAAACAATTAATCTGCTCGAGAGATTTGTTTATTGAATTCCTTTGGTATTTAGGGAAGGGTTTTCTAAATCTATTCGTACTGCAGTATACCAATGTTTATATTGGTGTGGTGTCAGTTAAAACAGGCAAAATGAGTATCCTGTTTCATCTAATTATTCAAGTTCTAACCGTCGTTGAACCCGCAATAAATAAAGCGTGGTATCGCGCAGTGAAATTGTACAGTGTACAGGCAGGTGCGGAGAATGGCAATGAGTGCGCTGTCCCGCGAGAGTGGACGTGTGTCCCATCTGCGTACACGCAGCCACATGGTGAACATCACTTTATCGATATCGATACTTTTTATATAATTATATAAACTAATATTATAAAGAGGACATACTTAATTATTCGTTTGAATAGGCTCCATAAAATAGTTTTGTTTGTTTTTAAAGAGTATGATGAAACTTCGGTTAAAGCATTCGATCTGTGTCACTAAGATCTAACGTCATCAGATGATAGTAGCGAGTAAAGCAATTAGTTCTTAGTAGTCGCCAATTTACACTGGCTTCGTTTGTTTGGGTTACGTAAGGCCCGTTATCCATCCAGGTATTCACAATGAGCGACCCTGTGCCCAGCATTAGTTAGATTTCGCAAAATTTATTGAAATCATCTCATGATGTACCAAAAATTAAACGATATCGATATTTTATAATCGAAGTTGCCGTTAACTCTGATCCCGCATCACGGTCGCGGTTTCTTCGCGTGATGGCGCTCCCCGGTGGCACGATAGCCGATACTATCTCGCGCGAATGTGCGTGACCACATCCTGTCCCTTCACTCCCGGCCCCCGTCCCCCGCCCACTGCCCCCCGGGACACCGGTCCGTTGCGCTCACGCAACCCGGCGACTTCCGCTCGCGGTGCTTGTTGTCAACTATCAAGGTCGTAGGCGAAGCGAAAACCGATTTTTGTGAATTTTAGTCCCATTTCTAAGGAAAACATACATCATTTTGCTATTATGTATACTCGTAAATTTTACTGTGTCGATTAATAATCTTACTTAATTACGTCTTTTATTGTCAGTTATTGTAATCTTACTTAACCGCAGCGTACAGGTTGATAATTTATAATAATCTACCAAGATAGAGTTAAAACTGACTGACCGTCTTTACAATTGAGGTTACATATTATTTCTAGTGTTCTATTAATAATACTTATGAAATGCGTTTTGACTAGCACAGTAACGACAGATGACAGATGTTGTCTATCAGAATTAATGATCACTTTTTTCCATATATTTTTCCTACATTTTCTTCGCTGCGACTGTTGCTGTGCTAGTGTTTCTTTTTAATTTTGAACAAAGCCACAACTCGGTTCAGGAAATACACGGAAGGGGAAATATGATAATAATCGGATCGGACTACTTTCGTCGTTTGATTTTAAATTATTTCCAGTGAGTTTGTTTCAAAATATTTTTATGAACAAAAATAAAATATCTATATTAATATTATAAAAAGGAAAGATTTAAACTGTTGTTTGTTTGCTTCGAATAGGCTCCGAAAATAATGGACATATTTTTTTTTTAATATTTCCTATAGTACTTTGGTTTTGAGTAATAATCTTAATGATGTTACAATAAACATAGTACGATTATTTACCTTTATTTTTTTCATTTGTAAGACGCCACCATTAAACACAAAACAATGCATCAACAATTTTTAACACCTTACTCGCTTACGACAAAGATCGAACTTATTAAAAATTGAATGAACTTTTTTGTACATTATTATTCTAATCTGATTGCAATCGGCATTAATATTTTAAGAATAATATCTGGTTAGTTACTTCAATTAATTACGTAATACATAAATAATTTCGCCCCAATCAGCTGTCGCCGCAGGCCTCTGGGTGTTAATGGCCTTTAACGTAATGGTTCAACGGGGCTGTAAATCGATACCCATAAAAGGGTTTACGGTTCGTTACTGTCCGTTTTGGAGTTTTTTTTCCACTCCTATGTATCACATTTATTAAACATCCATCCGTGTGCATTTAAAAATTTTGCGAGAGACTAATGAATGTTACTCTCATAGATTTTTTAAAACAATAATTACGTCTGATTTTGTTTTACGTGCGTCTTGTTGTTTTTGTATGGAAATTCTAAGACCTATTTTAAGAGTTGTTGATTGCAAACCAAAGATAATTTTAGATTTTGTCTTCTTAATGAAAAATGCTTAAAAATTCCACCAGCCCGAGGTACTCTGAGATGGGTCTCGAACCGATGACCTTTCTCAGTCCGGACGACTGCGTAACCACTGAGCTACACAGGACTTAACAGGACTGACGAATTTTTCAAGTACTTTTTACTTTTCGCTACTAGTGAGCTATTTTTTGCAGATATCCAAAAAATTGCCACTCCATACTTAGCTTATAGAATATACCGAACATCGTGGAATATATAATTAAAAACAAAAAGATCCACTACTCACAAATTATTGCAGAACAAAATCATGCAAAGAGGAATCAAGATTTTTCTTTACCAGAGTTTAAAAAGCTAAGTAGGTATCGAAAAAAGCATAATAATAGCCAAAAGCTAGTAGTCCGATTTTGCTCTCGTTAAGCAGCGACAATGGACGTGGGAAAACGTCAAATAAATTGAAGAATGTAAGTCAATTTTAAATGTGTATTGTGTAACTTTGAAAAATATTGTTGTTGGACCGTTCAACAATAAAAAAATATCAAAAAAATAACAAAAATAGATGGGAACCTTTTATATAGCCTAGACAGAGACATATATAATAATAATAATAAGCCCATTTATTTCCAACAACCTTAAATAACATTTTTATCTTATAAACTAATTAACTTAAAACTATGTTATTGGAACCCCATGTAGGGTAAAGGCCTCATCTAGTTTACTCCATGCTTTTCTATTTTTTGCTTTTTTCCTCCAGTCTTTACCGGCTACTTGAATTATTTCGTCGATCCATCTGTTTCTTGGGTGGCCTCTATTTCTTTTTCCCGCAGGTCCCTCCCATGTTGTGGTTTCTAATGTCCATCTGTTGTCTGTGTATCTCGCTAGGTGTCCTGCCCATCGCCATTTTTGTGTACGTGCATGATGAAGTACGTCTATTAAGTTAGTTTTGTGCTCTTATATCTTTACTTCTTATTTTTTGCATTCTTCTTACTTTCAGTATACTTCTTTCCATCGCTTTCTGACAGTTAGCTAGTTTTGTTTTTATCTTAGTGTTGTATGTCCAAGTTTGGCAGCCATAGGTCAGAGTTGGTAGAATACATGTATCCATTACAGTCTTTTTGAGATGCAGAGGGAAAGTGCCTTTTAGAATTTCCTTAAGACTCCAGTACCTCTTCCATCCAATGTTTACACGTCGCTCTATTTCTTCTTCCTCTTTAGTGTTACTGAATGATACTTGCTTTCCGAGATATATATAGTTGGTTACGTATTCTAATGGCTTACCATATAGGTTGATGTGAGCAGTTTTACTGTTTGTCATTAGTTTGGTTTTATCTTGGTTCATTACGAGCCCAACTTTTTCACTCTCCTCCTTCAATGTGCTTATCATTTCCCCTAGTTTGTCACTGGTTTCGGCAAAAATGACAATATCGTCAGCGAATCTTAGGTGAGTTAGCCTACTCCCATTTACTCTAATTCCATGTTCTGGCCAATCTATATTATCAAAGATAAGCTGTAGTACCGCTATAAAAATTTTTGGTGATAGAGGATCTCCTTGTCTTACTCCTCGGCAGATTGGTATATCTGTTCCTCTTTTTTCTAGTTTTACTCTACTGGTACTTCCTTTGTAGATGTCCTTTAGTACTTTAATGTATTTTTCTTGGATTTGGCAGCTAGCCAGGGCTTTCCATATGGAGTTATGAGAGATCGTATCGAAAGCTTTAGCGTAGTCAATGAAAGCTACATATAGTGGTTTGTTGAACTCTTTGTATTTTTCTATAACTTGTTGAATGGTGTGTATATGATCTGTTGTGGAAAAACCCGAACGGAAGCCAGCTTGTTCTAACGGTTGGTGTTTGTCAATTCTTGGTGACAGTCTGCTTTCTAGAATTGACGTGAATAATTTGTACACACTTGAAAGTAGACTTATAGGTCTATAGTTACCCACATCTTTCGGGTCTCCTTTTTTGTACAGCAAGATTATATCAGATCTCTTCCATTGTTCTGGCACCTGACCAGTGTCCAGGACTTTGTTAAATAAATGAGTAAGTGGTCGTGCTAGTAGGAGAGCACCTGTTTTTAAAGCCTCGTTTTGTAGGGTGTCAGGGCCTGGACTTTTATCATTTTTTAACTTTTGAATGTGTTTGATAGTTTCCAGATCGTCTATAGGTTGTATATCAGATTCCCAGTAGCTCATTTCGTAGTGCAAGGAGTTTTTTCTTGAACGAGAATCATTCGAGACGGCAGCCTTTTCTTGATAAAGTGCTTTGTAAAATTCTGATGCACTATTTATCACGTCGTCTCTGGTTTTTGTCTCTTTATTTTTAGTGTTAAGATTTTGTATCCAATTTTTATGAGTTGTTAATTGTTTGTAGGCTTTTTTGGAACTTCTGCATTTCTGTAGGTTGTCTTCTATTATCTTATTTCTATACTTCTGGTAATCTTTTCTAATGGCTTTACTTGTTGATTTAAAGAGAGCACTTAATTCTTTTTTCTCATCTGTAGATTTTTTGTTCATTTTTATTAACTCTGTTCGTCTTGTCAGCATTTCCCGGGTACCTTTACTTAAAATTTTTCCAACTAGGTCTTCTGTTGTATTAGGTGTTTTTGATGGCATACTCTCAACGATGGCTTTTTCTAATTTATTGTAAAGTGTCTGGACGTCGTGGTCATTGTCTTGGAGATTCAATTTTTGTATGTTGTCTTCTAGATTTTTCAAGTAGCGACTGATATCTTCTGTTGATTTTAATGATTTAGGTTGCGTTTTAAAAGTTGTTCTGACTTTCTTCTGTTTGCCTAAAATGTACGTAGCTCTCACCAAACGATGGTCTGATCTAAATCCTATGCCGTGGAGAACTTCTATGTTCCTTATTTTCTTGGGTTCATTTGTTAGGATATAATCCACCTCATTTTTTGTCTTTCCGTCTGGTGACAGCCAGGTCCACTTACGATTTTTTCTCATTTTGAAAAATGTATTCATAATAGAAAGTTTGTTCTCTAAGGCATATTGCACTAGTTTTTCACCCCTTTCACTTCGAGTTCCATAGCCAAATTTTCCCATGACCAAACTGTCATTCATATTTGTTTGTCCAACCTGAGCGTAAAAATCTCCAATTAGAAGAAGATGATGATATTGTCCAATAAGGGTAAAAGCTACTTCTAAGGTTTCGTAGTATGAGGTTATTGCTTCTTCGGATGATTTTTCTGTAGGGGCGTACGTCTGTATTATTGAGAGTATTTCGTTGTCGTATTTCATTTGTAGAACAGCGACCCGTTCTGAAATTCCTGTGAAGTTTATGATGCTTCTTTTGTGTTTTTTCTTGATGAGAAAGCCTACTCCATACAGCCCAGCTGTTTCTCCTTTATAACAAAGGATATAGCTGTCATGTTCTTCAATATTGCATCCCATTTTTCTGACTTCCGCTATACCAAGTATGTCTATTTCTATTTTTTGTAGTGAGTGCATTAATTCTATATATCTTATCTCCGACCCTAATGATCTGACGTTAAATGTACCAATTTTTAGAGTTTCATTTTTTGTTTTTATTTTAACTAGAGGGTTATGGTCTCTTTCCCCCACGGGGACCAGCCGGCTTGGGGGAGTTTTTATTCGGTTTATTTCTTGAAAGTTGTTTTTGCAGTTGTCATTGTCTTTTTTTCGGTTGCTGGCAGGCTTTAACTGCTACTTATTAGTCTTTTCTTTAAGTGAGTTGCTTCTAGGACGGGACATAAACTCAAATGCGTTCTTTGCAGCAATTTTTTTATGGCCCGCTGAGGAAGATGGTTCGCTCAGTGTTCCGGACCCCTGATTTGGTGAGAAGGATGATTCTCTCTTCCTCTTTTCACTCTTTTGAATATCCGTTGGTTTCTTGACTATAAGCTTGTCTCCTCGCAGGTAGGCTATATTACCCTTGTTTCTTTCTTCTTCGAGTTTCGGCTGTAGAGATTTTCTTATGTCTAGCGTTTCCTTCGTAAAGTCTTCTTTAATGTATACTCCTTGCGGAAATTTATTTTTATTTTTGAGGATTATGTTTCGTCTCCAGGTGGAAGTCCAGTAGAAGACAGAGACATAGCCCTGTTTAAATTATTTTAACAAAGAAATTAAGCAAATGACAAATGGCATGACACCATCAACAGAACCAGGTCATCCAGCGGGCAATGGAGACAGCAATGCTTGGTGTTTCTCCACGTGATCGTATTAGAAATTAAGAGATCGGGTAGGGGAACCTACGTTACTGATATTGCTCGAAGAATCGCTTAGCTGAAGTGGCAGTTTGCGGTTCATATAGGTAGAAGAACCGATCGCCGTTCGGGAGGTAAGGTTCTGGAATGGCGACCGCGTACCGGACGACGCTCACAAGGCAGACCCCTCACCAGGTGGACCGATGATCTTTTAAAGGTTGCGGGAAACCGCTGGATGCAGGCAGCGTAGAACCAATCGGCATGTAGGTCATTGGGAAAGGCTATTGATGATGCAAAAGTTTTGAATTTGGATTTACTTTCGTGTCAGATACTGTACTCTTTTTTTGGAGCATATTGATGCAAACAAACAATCTTTTTTTTTTTGTTTTTTCAAAATCTTTTTTATCTAAAATATTAGTTGGTTGGTTGGTTGGTTGCGGGAAACCGCTGGATGCAGGCAGCGTAGAACCAATCGGCATGTAGGTCATTGGGAAAGGCTATTGATGATGCAAAAGTTTTGAATTTGGATTTACTTTCGTGTCAGATACTGTACTCTTTTTTGGAGCATATTGATGCAAACAAACAATCTTTTTTTTTTGTTTTTTCAAAATCTTTTTTATCTAAAATATTAGTGTAGATAATAATCTAAATATGCTTTTGTTATATAAAAAAATATTTGAATAAAATATTTCTTCAAATAAATTAACTACGAAAGGTCCATATTGGAATCTTATTAACAATCTGAAACACAACGAAACTTCAGCTAATCTATTCGGAAACTCGGGCGCGCGTCGGACGCGTGTCTCGCAATCACGGGTGGGTCCCATGCCTCCAGAACTCCGGACCCGCGCTAATGAAGGTCGCTTAAAGGGTCCGGGTAGGGCCCACGGCAACGCTGAATCTTTAACATCCAGAACAGGGTGAGCGAGGACGAAATTGAAACGCGACTGGAACGTGAAAACTGTATAACGTTGTCGCTACATATATTAAAGATCCAATTGCGAAAACAGGTTATAGGAACTTTTCATGGAACAACGAATCAGATAGACGTTACCTGTCTCTCTCCATGATTCCTCGTATACCCAACTCGTCCATAATAAAACCTTAATCTAAAATCTTATATGTCCTGATGATTGCTATATTCAAAGAAATGGTCTGCGATGCAGTGTCGGGTATATTTATCGCAGAAAGTTATAATAAAATATATATATGTATAATAATAAAAATTTTTACTGTCACGAATTTGTAACATTATGATGAGTGCATTATAATTTTAATTGGACCTTCATTACTCGGACTCCAAGAATTTCACAAAACCCTAAGCACCTAAATTCGATGCCCTAAATCACACTTTAGGATTTGGAATAGTAATAAAATACTAATGCCCATTAGTCATTAATGCCCGCCCGCTCAAAACAAAACGCGACTATCCAAGTGACATATTGAAGAAGTCGTGAGGAGTCCACACTATGGACCGAAAAACAATTAGGTATACATTATATACATATGACTTATTATTCGTTTTACTCTCGACTCCGTTGATACATAAATACGCAATTGCTAAGGTAAGTTTAATCATGAAACATTTGGGACTTAGCTGTTGACAAAGACGTTAAGCGTTACTTGATTCTTATAGAGTATTAAGTTTTTAGGGGTCTTTATTCCTTTTAGATCTTTGTTGCCTCTTCTCTTATCCGAATGAAAGATACCCAGAAGTAATTCAAACATCAAACATGAGTCGACATCAAAAATCACATGCGATCTCATATACCTAATTAAGTTAATTACGTAGCAAATTCTCCGCACCCAATATAGGCGGGTAAATATCGCCGTCCCGCTCTCGCAAGGCTGCTGAGCCCCACATTTGTATCAAGTGGGCAAATAAAGAAGGAAACAAGTTAGATGGAGTGGAGCTGGACCGCGCGTTTGCGACTAATTAACCCACCCCGCGGGGAGTCGGAGACCCGAATGGGGGGGGGGGGGTTAAAAAATATGCGCCACCCGCGAGACGCGACGCGACGTGTCCGTTAAGAACACCACCCTCTATCCCCGTACGGAGTGCAAGCGATTTTCAGTCAGTTTTTAGAGTGCACCGGTAATATTGCTAATTAATCCCGGCGTTTCCTGAACTCCTGAGCTTTGAATGAAAGTGCAAATATTAAGTGTCGATACGACAAAAGAGCTGTTCATGTTAAGTACAAAGTCTGCAATCTTTCAAAATCTAATAAAGTAGATAATGCACTAATCTTATGATTTTTATTTATTTAATATCATTGAAACAATAATATTGTTCCTCATTATCATCCAGACTAATTTATCATGTTGCACCAGTCTTGTCAAATTTGGACATTTGAAGTTTTCGTTTTACCGTGCCAAAGTTCATACATCTAGCAAAATCAATTCCTCCAGACACATAATCTTAAGTGGCAGCTTCAATTTTAAGAGCATTAATTTCAAAGGCAGTGACAGTTGTTTGAAGTAATTTAGTTACATCGTAGTCTCTCAGTGGTCTGGGTTTATTTTTATGAGAATCATAAAAGTTACAAAGGTCGGTTTATATGGAGTGATGATATTCTAAAAACAATATCCCAGAGATTCCCGTTTTTAATGTTACTCCATGTCGATGTATTCTCTAGCAACTCTCGGTTTTATCGAGTTAGGTATAGAGTAGAAACACACGAACTACATAACAGAAAGATATTAAAAAAATGTTCTGAATGGGTAGAAAAGATTGGACGATTCAAATGTTGTGAAATTATGAATAAGAAAAGATTTACTTTATTGAAACCATAAATTTTTATGTTTTTGAAATGTTATTTAAGAAGTGTGTCTTCTTTAATCAACGTGTAAGAAAAGATTTACTTTATTGAAACCTTAAACTTTTATATTTTTGAAATGTTATTTAAGTGTGTCTTCTTCAATCAACGTGTATATTATGCTTATGGTCTGTTTCTAATTGATCATCATACCATTCATTAACTCCACTCGATATTTATTTATTTATATGGCAATACATTTTGCTCTGCGATCGCGGCCGCGTCTCGTCACAGATCACTGCCCGCGCCCATTCTCGAGTCGCGGCTCAAGCGATGTAATTTATTTTCCAAATCGATTCGAAAACTCGCACGCTCGACTTCCACGCACCCTTCGTGTATCCAGAAAGATACACATAGTTACTTCTATGATTGATTGCCTATAACAGATTGACTGACAGCAGACTACCTAACTTTAGAAACTAAAATAATCCTGCAGTTATGAGTCTCATCATATGATACTATATAATATCCAAACAAAAGAACTTGCAATATTCCTTAAAGCAATTCACGATAATATATATTTAAAGATGTCGTCACTTCTTCATCTTGCTTTGTTCTACTTTATAGAAAACTAGCTGACCCGACAGACTTCGTCCTGTCAAAAAGATTTGTAATGTGGCAGTTTTTTTGCCTACGTATTTAAAAAAATTCTCCTGAACAGAACCGTCACCCTGGTGATAGGGCGTTGTGAATAAAAAATAATTAAATAAAACATATATAAGGATTTAAAAGTAAGTAATCGCTTTATTGTTAATCATGTGAATCATAATTATTATTGCAATGTATTAATAGTAATAGTATTAAATATAGAAAAAAGAGATTTTTATGATCATAAAAACACATTACACACAACAGCATTATAAAAGTAAACTATTCGAATTAAAAAAATATATAAACATTCTCAAGGAAAAATGCTGGAAGAATCCATCTACCTGTACCCCGGAATGGGACTCGAACCCATTCGCGATCCAGGGACTGCTCTAACCAATGAGCTATCTAGGACCCAACAGCTTTGCTACTACAGAGCGTATTTTCATCAATGTTCCGGCAATACATGTAATGACGTGGAAACTGATGCATTTTATCTCGCGTGCCGAAACTAATACAAAAGAAACGCGAGTTTCGGAACGCGACATTAAACTCCTCCAACTATGTATTCTGTGCTCCAACGCACACACGCACATTGTTTTGTGATAGATATGATCTTTGACGTTAGGAACACACCTACATTGCTTAGACAACAGTGAGTGCTTGTAATTTAATATGAACTTTATACCATAGCAATAAAGCTCAAATTGACTACGTTTTAGTTACAAATCATTTGTATGGGAAAAAGAAAAGGGCTATTTTTAGGGTTTTTCCAGCAATAATTCTAATTTTTCTCGCCGTAAAAACCATCCTTGAACTTCAACGAACATTTTAAAAAAAGATTTGGCCAAATTGGTCGAGGCGTTGTTGAGTTATGCGCTTACCAACACATTTTGCGATTCATTTTTATATATATAGATATGTAAAGATGACGATTTTAAGAGTGCAGGTCCTGACTCGCTTTAGAAAGAGCTTTTGATCAATGATACTTTTTTTAATTTATTTATTGATACTAATAAGAATATTATTGTTACATTTCACACATAATTAATAGATCTCCAGTTTAAATCTTTATTCAGAGCAGCCTTTTACTTTAATTGTTAGAGAATTTGTTTTACAAGCAGCCGACAGAAATAGATGACAATAATCAAGTCTTTTTAATTTTCGAAAAAAGTTCTGATTTAAGCTATCTGATGCATGCCCATTTTCACTTACCTAGAACAAGGCAAAGCTTAAGTAGAAATCCCTTAATATTAAGAATAGCTTCAGCAAATTTGTCGATACACCATATCTGCAACGTTAGGTAATGTCTTACTAAGCACTTGCTTAGTTATGCAAAGTTTGTCTTTGATTTTTCATGCTTTAGTTCCTCTTCTTTATCTTAATGTATGGTATATTTACGTTAACACAATTACACCAATGTCACGTTAGTGGCTTTTACACGTAAAGAGACAATAACAGAAATATACATTTTGACCTAATAAAATAAGATAAAATGTACGTGGTCTTGTATTTACACGAGCACCCAAGTCGTCATTGTCCATTTATAAAAAGTATGAAAATTCAAAAAAATCCTTTTTTATATCTTAATTCTAATATATAATTCATTGATGACACATTTGTAATGGCCAAAGAGTAATATCACATACATGAGTAATGTATATGTCACATAACGCAAATGTCTAACCAAAGATTACAATATTATACTGGTGTCTAGCGTTAGGCGCAGCACAAAGCATGCCCTAAATTTAAGAGTTGCTTAAAGCCGTTAGGCGTCTCCTTGTTATTTGCAAAACGCATTTTCACCTTTGATAAAGCCCATATATTTAGGCGTCGGATTTGGGCGACTCCTAAGTTTAGTGAAAACGGGCATCAGTGTAATATATTCTATCGAAATAAAATTTAAAGCTTTATACACTTGATATTATAATGTAAATAAGTAAGCAGGTGCTTAGCTTAATGTGGGATTTGAGTTTAAAGTTGGATTTGAGTAAGATACACACATGCCTCTGTCGCAGTGATATAACAAAAGTAAAGATGACAATGAATCAATTATGAACTTTATCAAATCAGATTTTAACAGTTCCTTTAACAAATCTAATGATTATTTCACTTTATGTGAACACGGAACCTGTAAAGGGTCCGAAACGTCTAAAACTGAATACAAACGCGATGAAAGATTTTTTATGGTTTCCGAATATGGTATTATTTTATAGTATAAGACTTTATTTAAATTAAATTAGGTTATCATTGAAATGACAAAAAACAAATTAGTGGCTCAGGTATTAGTATTGAACGTTGAGTGCGTTTTGATTTAATCCAATGCTAACCAAATCAGAGCCTTTACGCGGTAAGCCTGCTCATTTAAATGTTATCAATTAAAAATTTCATTATTGAATATGTCAACTATTCTCAGTATCATCGATTCTATGATTGGTCTGCTTAGATATAGAGGTATTGAGCTCACAGAACATCAAAGCTGTTCCGTTATCAGTTGTCAAAGGATACTCGTCTATAGACAACATGTAATCACTACACGTTATGTGTATTATACGGCTTTGTGCTTAGTTCGATTGTTCATACACAATACAAGAAACTGGACTACAATTGCAATCATTTATATATATATGATTGGTCTAAAACTAAATATAATGTATAGTGCCAGCTGTATTCCTCATAAACTGTTCTAAAACGATTGCCATTCCTATTTCTATTCTTTTTAAGAGGTCATTGACAGAGGGCATTGTTCCAAGTGTATGGAAGCAAGCTTATATTACACCAGTGCACAAAAAAGGGTCTAGATCGAACATTGCTAACTACCGCCCAATTTCTAAGCTCTCTATCATTTCTAAGGTATTGGAAAAAATTATTTACGAGCAACTTTACTCTGCATTAAAACAATCATTCAGCCCAACACAGCATGGTTTCCTTAGGGGTCGTTCAGTCGTGTCCAATTTAGTCTTGCTAAATGAGTCGCTTACATTTGCTATGGATAGTGGCTTTCAAGTCGATGTAATCTACACTGATTACAGTAAGGCCTTCGACCGGATTCGGCATGATATGCTTTTGCACAAGCTTCTATTGATTGGCGTGGATGGCGACTTACTGCGCTGGTTATCGTCATATATAAATAATCGCTCACAGGCGGTTGTGGTGAAGAATTATATATCTAGTTGGCTTACAGTTCCAAGTGGAGTTCCCCAGGGCTCACTGCTTGCGCCACTCCTATTCGCAGTGTTCGTGAATGATATTGAGCACTGTTTTAAATTTTCACAGCTCTTATGTTTCGCGGACGATATGAAAATATTGGCTCCTATCTCGTCATCAGAAGACGCTCTCCTATTACAAGACGATCTAGTGAGACTTGACAACTATTGTTCCGACAATTGTTTAGATCTAAATGTAGCCAAATGTAATGTTGTCACTTACAGCAGGAAGCGGAATCTGGTATTATATGACT